ATTTTCTAATAATTATAATCTTTTATCTTAGATAATTTCATAGGAAGTTTCTCTTTATCGTTTGCCATTGCGTTTTTGGATAAAATTGTCCCTTCAACTTAGACGAGGTCCCACGAGACTCGTAAGGAAGAGAGAGTCTTGTAGCATTTATCTACAAAATCGATTACTCTCATAAAATACTGGATATAATATCGCCATTATCAGAACTCTTGACGATTACTCATGTCCCAGTTTTTCAATTCAATTTCGTATCAAAGGCGAGACAAAAGTTTGATACTCGGCGAGAATTAAGAGAGATAGTTTTACTCGCTCGCCTCGGGTCCCCTTCGCTCGAATTTACTGGGCAAATTAAACGCGAGAACTTTGTAGGAAATTAATCCTTGGCCCCGGTGCTTCTCCGGTTCTGCGGATTCTTTCGCCGATTTTTATCCATTGCCCGGAGCATTCCTTAGCCGTGAAAAGCGGGTCTCCGGGTTATCTACAGAAGAAGAATTCGCGCAATTCCTTGTTCAACCCATCCAAAATTCCGTTCGCTTTGTATACTAAAAGAGTCTACAATTATTTTTGTGTTTTATCCGTTCAAATCATATTTTCTACTCATTCAATTTTCATTTAATTCCCTATACATTCGTCATAAAAGATTCTATGATCTTTTATGTATTTCATCTATTCAATTCGCGTTTGAATTTTGCGATGAAACGACATTTGATCAATTGCATCGTTCGCTGTAATCTGTGTCCTTCATATCCACAAATGGCCAATTTGAAAGCATGTAACATGCGTCAATAATTTACTGAACAAATCTATTTTTCATGTGCAATCTTTTGCTTCTGATTGCACCGTAATTGACATTTTGAATTCGCATCACGAACCGTTTGTTTGGCATGGCTTCAGTGTTGAGAATGAATCAGGGATGGCAAGTTAAAAGTAATTAAACGAACGGTTCGTGTTAATCAGCGTGCCACTAATGATTAAATTAAGGCGTCGCGCTTAACCCGGCGAGACTACTTCGGGAAGCGTGAAAACGTGGAAGCAAGCTAGGAAAAAAGGAAACAAGCGACGCAAACTTTTTGCAAACGTCACAGCTTTCTTATATATATATCACTTAAGAGAACTATTCTCGTTTTAATCCGCGATACAGTGTATCAACTCGAGAAGATTAAATTTCTCGCAAACTGGAACATTTCCACGATGATCGAAACATGGAAAACAATCCTTCTGATTAAATGCGTCAACGCAAGGTTTCTAATGGAATATTAATTCCCTTTTCAGGCAGCCAGTCTATTAACCGAATGATCCGTCAAAGCCAATGCGTCTAATTCAGTGAATGTTATTGCGTCAATCTCTTCTATCTTGGTTATTCCATGTTCAGAGAATTCTTTCTTATTTAATTATTTCTTACTGTATAAACTTTTTTTTCTATGTGCTAATATTACAGAAAAAAATCTAAAATCATTCAAATAGCACTCTTCAACTATCTATTTTACATGAAAATCGAAATATTTGAGAAAGAATAAACTTATGTAAATAAAACAGTATCCGAGCTCAATTTTTCCCAGAGACGAACGATCCACATTTACACAGTATGAGACTTTATCCACTTCGCATCCAATAAAATTCAGTAAAGAAAAAAATTTTCCTGCCATTTTTATTTCTTAAGTAGTTCTATCCCATATCATGTGACAGTGTCAAAATCATATTATCAACGGTGGTAAGATCGAAAGTAGATTTTCGGTCGGGCGTAATTTTTGTCACGTCGCGGCCTCGTTATAAGGTTGTCCCTCGATATACGGTGCTCCATGGACTAGCCATCATAATTGCATCGATCAGTAACATCGTTATCGTCCGCGCATAATTGTTCGCCACGATATATCTATGGCAATTAGCCCGCGGCTCGTGTATCAAAGGAATGCTCGATTGCCCCGCTGTTGTCCGGCAGAGCACGTGAACCGCTTTAAGATCGTATTTCCCTCCTCACTTATCACGATAAAATTAAAATTTTCTCTACTGTACTCGTGCTCTTTATTTCCTCCATTGTTCAGCAATTAATAAATAAATTAAATTGCTCTTTTATTTGTAACCTTGTATTGTGCAATTTTCCTTATTTTTACAAATAAAAATAAGACAATGCTGCAACAAAACTTGTAGTCATTAATGTGCGTCGCGAGAGAGGTTCACGCTCTCGAAATTCTATTTCAAGTTTCGCATTGCCACACCGAAATCGTCTAATAATACGTTTGATTTCGGTAATTGGGTCGGGAGCTCAGTGAATTTTGTACGCGACCACGAGATGGTTCGCCGATGAACATGGATGCGGAGAGCATTACTTTTAACGATGGTAGACATTCGATAAACACTTACACTGCGATATACGCGTTGGCCGTCCTTTGCGAATCTGGACGTAAATACAGCGTGGCACCGACGGTGATAATAAATCATCCGTCGTCCGTGACAGACGCTCCCGTGATCGCGGTACACCGGAAGAGCTACTCTCTTCACCGTTGACTACTATTGTATACGATGTGTCTTACGTTCACCGATAATTCAGTCTGAAAGAAACACTAGTGTTTCAACGATTTTATGAGAAATAAAACATTTATATGTGAGTGAAGTCATGAATACTTGGATACATTTCAGAATTGATTGAAAATCCTCCGAAGCTTGAAATGTCAAAAGCTACTTATATCACGATGATAAAACATCTGAATCTCGTCTTTCCATGAATCTGTTATTTCGCGATCCAAATTTAATACAGTCTATTTTTGGGATAAAATGAAAAGTTATCAGTCCTCTATTATATTCTTTTGGCCTCTGATCCCACCGACACTTTATCCCCGGAAATCTTATTTTATCTCCGCGTAAACTGTTCGGTTTCGGCACTCGGAAACGAATCCGGGTACAGAATTCCGTGAAGAAACTTGTCCGGGGGGGAACTTGAAACGATTCGTTGTGATGAATGATTATTTTCCTCCGGCAAACAATATTTACTCGTCACAATCGTGAGGAACTTTCGACCTTTAACCAACTCCACCCGAAGATCACATGTCGTGAATGAAACCGAGTGGTTAACTTGCCTCGAAGTTCTTTAGCTCTTGGTGACGAAATTTCATGTAGGATCGAGGGTGCTCCTCCTGAATCTGTCCCTGATTTACCCATACTAGTTTAGTCTAATGCGTGTACAGAGTGGAACGTTTGAATAGAAACTCGGAGCAGCATGCCAACTCTGATATCAAGTTTAATTCGTAGTCGAAAGGAAAGTTCTGTGTAATAAGAAAATTTTCTCACTTCATATTTCTTAATACTTAAATCACATTCATCAACATTCTCATTTTTCTCATTTGCTCATGTTTCAAATTGAAATAGCATTAAAAAATGAAATGAAGCATTCAACGTGTACAAATTTTTAAAATCTGTTGCTGAATTCTTCTGGTCATTCCTAAATAAAATACACGAAGCGATTTTTGCTTATTTCTACATAAAACTGTTTACGAACGTCGATAAATCTTGTTGTAACAAACACTTTGAATCGAAAGAATATAAATGTAATATCATTGTATAAATTTACACGTGCATTTCATCGTCCCACCCTGTACGGGTGTTCGCTTTATCCCAAAGAGATTGCTTGCAGAATTTCAAATTGCTGGAAGTCGAGACGCAGGGCTTTAAGCGTTGATGCTGCGATCGTGATTGCCCGCGTGATGCGGCAATTAATCCACTCGGTTAGGCGAAACTGGCTGCCATTAATCTTTTCTCTAGTGACACATTGATCGCGTTCACTCCAAGTCAATTTTCATTTACAATGGATTACAAAGCGACTTACAATTTACTTCATAAATCACAGATATACTTCGCGAATTTTCGAGTTAACAAAATTACCGAAAACGTTCATTCTTAATTGAATCATTTAAAATTCTACATAATTATTCGTAATTAAAACAACAAAGTAAATGACGTATGAATGGACAACAATTTGCTACGTTTAAGAATTTTCTTGGAACCATGTTAGATGACTAACCACTTATGACAATATTGGCTACTTCTAGTTATGTCTAGTTTTAAGAAATCATCTTCGATAAGATAGCTCTAAGGTACAAAATCGTGCCTGAATCATAAGACTCGGAGTCGCACTCTGCCTCAATCTTGAATCCCTGAATCTGAATAGTCGCGATGTCCCAAACGAATCAGGTTTTGACTGAACTCTGAAACAATCACTGTCCGCTTGAATTCCTCACAATTGTACAACCCATACTTGGAAATATAAAGTTACATCGTGATTGCTGAGACTTATTTCTACGCGGATCCCGAATACAACAATCGATAGAAAATTCTCTCGCTTCAACTTATATTTTCGTCAACATTTCTTACGTCACTGTGCATGTTTAGAGGCGGTTGGAAATCAACGCGAGCAAGACCCGGTAATGATAAGCGCAATTAATAATTTAAAAATCAATGGGTTCTAGGTCAAGTACCTCGCGCGGCTAGATCGATCTTCGACGTCGGCGTGCCTAACCGTATGAATGAAAGTCGGCCAGAGAAAGAGCGAGCCTCGCGTCAGAGCGAGACGAATCGTAGCTATGCTCGAAGAGCGGGGAAAGCGGTCTCGTTCATTCGAGGGCAGCTGAGAAATAGAAACGATGAGTGAGACGCGGCGAGATTGAGAGAGGACACAGTCGGGGATAGAGGAAGATCTTCGTGGAAGACGTTGTCGCGAAAAGAGACGCGCGCGGAGAATAAAAAGCGTTATAATAGAGAGAGGGTGGAAACGACGCGTAAAAACGAAGCAATGGAAAAAAAGGGTGGAAGTAGGGGTGTATGGGGAGGGGGTGAAAGAGTCGAGGCCTGGAAGAGGAACGGGTGACGCGGTGTTGAAGAAAGAGAATGGCAAGAGGAAGATGAGATGATGACGGTGGAGAGGAGCAGGAAGCGGGAGGAACCGCGCAGGCGGCATCCACTGCCAGGGTCACTCGACGCAAATGCTTTTGTACGTACTCGGATGATTCTCTCGGTGGAGCAGCACTCAGTGCGCTGCAAGCGCTCGCAGCTCGCATGTCCGCTTTACGCTTTTTCCGGGAAAAGCTGGTTAAAAATCGTTAACGCCTAAATGACAGTGCAAATGTTCCTCCTGACCAATGGTATGAAAATCTTTTAGTCGAGCCAAACTTAAGCTGATCGCAGTGATAACTGAAATGTCCTTTTTTTTTAACTATAAATTACTAGTGCGCGAGAACGAAAATCGAAAAGTTTAACCAGTTTGTAGATTTTTGTTGGGGAACTGATTGGCTGGAACAGTGAACGAAGTGAGTGCGAACGAGCAGAATTTTGCTTAATCCAATGAAAGATTGAATTCGCAACATAAGTGAATCGTAATTTTAATGAGAATTTTTAATTCCCAATGCCGGTAAAAATGTTTCGGTCATAATACAATAAAATACCGCAAGTTTTATGTAGTTATAATAAATTATTAATAATGCAACAGTGCTTAAAGCGAAGTGCATATTCAAAGAAATTCTTACTAGATTCCACCTTTTTAATTGATACTCGAAGAGACTTGTAAACGAATCTTCTATCTAAAAATACCAATAAATGGAGACAAACAGAATGTAAATGCAATAAAATGTACGAAACAATTGTTCACACAACAAAAGTTCTGTTTTCATGTTTTAAATGGTGTAACAGCATTTTACTGCGCTGATGAAAAACTTTTTGCCACCGTTGTATCCGAAGCGAACGCGGACACTGTTAATTTTAGAGGCGAAACCTTTCGGTCCGGGATTCCAGATGCCAATAAACCGACAGGAAGATGTATGAAGCCGCGATTCTGATGTAAACGTGTGCACGCTATGAGGATGATTAAAGACCGCGCCGCGACAAAAGAACCCTTCTTACCGCGTTTTTGGACAATTGTTTCGAGCGTCACTCCAGCGAGAACGAACTCGGCGAAGCAGCGATTCAAGAATCTAAGGGAGTTCGGAAGTGTGTTTTGAAAATATCCTCATCAAGTGCGACGAGGCCGGAAGAGACGCCGGATTACCGACAAGGTACAAGATCAAAAGTGTCTTTTAGGAAGCAGAAAACAATTTCAGACTAATGGACACCTGTGCCAAATTTTCCCAATATCCATCTCTGCTACCATTTCTTCCGAGCCCCAAAAGTAGTATCAATATAATGAAGCGAGACGATCTTGAATTAGCTCGTTAATCATCGAATTACTAATTCCAATCTGAACATCAAAATTGATAGGAAATTATATCATGAACGATCATCCCCTGATACTTTATCCCGAATCTCTTTTAAAAATGAAATATTCAACTATATAAAATTTCATCGTCAGGTAAAACGAGTAATTCGAAATACTTCACGTGATATCAAATTTTTCTGGTCGCAGTATCGAAAATGTAACGTGTTGGGTGTTGGTTAATCGATACATGCTAAGAAATTGATACAGCGACATAGTACGAACATTACAGACTCTTGGCCAGCTGCATTTTTTCCTAGCCCTTTTAATCTCCTCTGATCCGGTTCGCGATGAGCTCGAACACTACAAGAAGCATCCTGCGGATTAACCAGAGTACCAAAGCCTTAAACCTCTCGACAAGCTGTTGACCTGAAAAGGCATTTGAGGATAACTCGATAGGCCGATTCTTATCACCCACTGGATGTACACCTCGGTTACATGCTAAGCTCTAAGCCTAAGCGATTAACGATGAGAATTAATTATTTTCCCAAACGGTTTCCCACTCACTTTCTAAACTCATTTAAATAGCAAATCAGGTATCACATATAGTACTCGTCATTTAATCATTGTATCAAAACGTGATAGGAGTTCATTACATCATAGAGATTAGTAAATGAATATATCCTTGAAAACGAAAAATGAAAACGAAAATGGATCTCTGTCGTGTTTTATTAAAAGTTATTCCTATTCTACACCTGGCAAAAAATTTCTGATAGTATATAATAGAGAGAGGGTGGAAACGACGCGTAAAAACGAAGCAATGGAAAAAAAGGGTGGAAGTAGGGGTGTATGGGGAGGGGGTGAAAGAGTCGAGGCCTGGAAGAGGAACGGGTGACGCGGTGTTGAAGAAAGAGAATGGCAAGAGGAAGATGAGATGATGACGGTGGAGAGGAGCAGGAAGCGGGAGGAACCGCGCAGGCGGCATCCACTGCCAGGGTCACTCGACGCAAATGCTTTTGTACGTACTCGGATGATTCTCTCGGTGGAGCAGCACTCAGTGCGCTGCAAGCGCTCGCAGCTCGCATGTCCGCTTTACGCTTTTTCCGGGAAAAGCTGGTTAAAAATCGTTAACGCCTAAATGACAGTGCAAATGTTCCTCCTGACCAATGGTATGAAAATCTTTTAGTCGAGCCAAACTTAAGCTGATCGCAGTGATAACTGAAATGTCCTTTTTTTTTAACTATAAATTACTAGTGCGCGAGAACGAAAATCGAAAAGTTTAACCAGTTTGTAGATTTTTGTTGGGGAACTGATTGGCTGGAACAGTGAACGAAGTGAGTGCGAACGAGCAGAATTTTGCTTAATCCAATGAAAGATTGAATTCGCAACATAAGTGAATCGTAATTTTAATGAGAATTTTTAATTCCCAATGCCGGTAAAAATGTTTCGGTCATAATACAATAAAATACCGCAAGTTTTATGTAGTTATAATAAATTATTAATAATGCAACAGTGCTTAAAGCGAAGTGCATATTCAAAGAAATTCTTACTAGATTCCACCTTTTTAATTGATACTCGAAGAGACTTGTAAACGAATCTTCTATCTAAAAATACCAATAAATGGAGACAAACAGAATGTAAATGCAATAAAATGTACGAAACAATTGTTCACACAACAAAAGTTCTGTTTTCATGTTTTAAATGGTGTAACAGCATTTTACTGCGCTGATGAAAAACTTTTTGCCACCGTTGTATCCGAAGCGAACGCGGACACTGTTAATTTTAGAGGCGAAACCTTTCGGTCCGGGATTCCAGATGCCAATAAACCGACAGGAAGATGTATGAAGCCGCGATTCTGATGTAAACGTGTGCACGCTATGAGGATGATTAAAGACCGCGCCGCGACAAAAGAACCCTTCTTACCGCGTTTTTGGACAATTGTTTCGAGCGTCACTCCAGCGAGAACGAACTCGGCGAAGCAGCGATTCAAGAATCTAAGGGAGTTCGGAAGTGTGTTTTGAAAATATCCTCATCAAGTGCGACGAGGCCGGAAGAGACGCCGGATTACCGACAAGGTACAAGATCAAAAGTGTCTTTTAGGAAGCAGAAAACAATTTCAGACTAATGGACACCTGTGCCAAATTTTCCCAATATCCATCTCTGCTACCATTTCTTCCGAGCCCCAAAAGTAGTATCAATATAATGAAGCGAGACGATCTTGAATTAGCTCGTTAATCATCGAATTACTAATTCCAATCTGAACATCAAAATTGATAGGAAATTATATCATGAACGATCATCCCCTGATACTTTATCCCGAATCTCTTTTAAAAATGAAATATTCAACTATATAAAATTTCATCGTCAGGTAAAACGAGTAATTCGAAATACTTCACGTGATATCAAATTTTTCTGGTCGCAGTATCGAAAATGTAACGTGTTGGGTGTTGGTTAATCGATACATGCTAAGAAATTGATACAGCGACATAGTACGAACATTACAGACTCTTGGCCAGCTGCATTTTTTCCTAGCCCTTTTAATCTCCTCTGATCCGGTTCGCGATGAGCTCGAACACTACAAGAAGCATCCTGCGGATTAACCAGAGTACCAAAGCCTTAAACCTCTCGACAAGCTGTTGACCTGAAAAGGCATTTGAGGATAACTCGATAGGCCGATTCTTATCACCCACTGGATGTACACCTCGGTTACATGCTAAGCTCTAAGCCTAAGCGATTAACGATGAGAATTAATTATTTTCCCAAACGGTTTCCCACTCACTTTCTAAACTCATTTAAATAGCAAATCAGGTATCACATATAGTACTCGTCATTTAATCATTGTATCAAAACGTGATAGGAGTTCATTACATCATAGAGATTAGTAAATGAATATATCCTTGAAAACGAAAAATGAAAACGAAAATGGATCTCTGTCGTGTTTTATTAAAAGTTATTCCTATTCTACACCTGGCAAAAAATTTCTGATAGTATATAACATATAATACAATAATTAAATGAAGACATGCGAAGCTTAAAAATGTGCAAGAAAATGTATAAAACAGTATCATTTTTCAAGCCTTTTTATCCATTATCATATTATCGCATTGATCAAAAACATTGCGCAAAAGGTTGTAGCAATTCAAGGAGCATCATTGAATCTTCAATATTTTTGCCAAGACAAACAGTCCCGTTAACTATTTTATGACTCGTTTAAACATTGACAATGTAAATATTGTGTCTCGAACGGGACAACTGAAAATTGAAAGCGTTACTGTATTTCGTATCATCTCGCTATAAAATCACGCGTAACGAGCATCGGTGCGTGAATTACGCTTTCTGCGTACTTCATTAACAGCCGGATTCGCGAACGAGCAGGCCTAGTAATTAACGAGAGAAATTCGGTTTCAGACAAGAGCCAATGAAAAGCACCCAATTAATGTTTTTGTAATTATGCAAACTATTATAATATAATACTGCGGACTATGTATATTAAATATAAAACTGCAAACTACAATATATGAAGTTCCGTAATTATGCAGTTGTTTCTAAATTACAGTAACTAAACAATGAAATTTTTCTTATTAACTTTATCTACCCGAACTTATCGAAGATCGAATCGATTTTTTCCGAAGCTTTTATGATACTGTTTTTGCTCCTTCGTTAAAGTTACGCGCGAATAACTGTAGCCTCTCTCAATTGCACGCACAAACGAGTCCCTCGGTCCCCATAGAAGGGGATCCGAAATCGCTTATCCCGAAAGTCGATTGCGATTCTTTTCGACGAGTGCGTCGCATCACCACGTTCCTTTCACCCGGAGAAAAACCGAGATTCTCGTGTCGGGTGGGTAGATCGTTCCCTTATTGGAATAATCGTGGCGCCGCGAAAGCGTTTTTCCCGTCGACAAGTGGAATCGGTTAAATTGCTCGTGGCCGAGGTCGAACGCTGATTTCTATCGATTCATTTCGAAAAAAAAAAATTTAATCTGCAGTTCTCTATTTCATATAATCCGAAATATCATACGTGTATATACGTGTGCCTCGGTGCAAAGTGTCTTATATATTATATGTATGTAACGTGTAAATATGTACGTACGGTATATTGAAACTTTTCGAAATCCCGTCGTAGATTTCATTTTTTAAAGATTATTTTATTTTGAATTAGAATTCGCACTCGATTTATAAATTTTACTACTAAGAAGGAAAAAGGATTATCAGATAAATGTAGGAGACGAGACTGGCGTGAAACATTTAACAAAGACAAAAATATAAATGGCACGAGTCGATCTCTTTTAAGTAGAAAGGATGCGCGTAGCTTCCCGAGAGAAGTTTGTACGAATTAGTTGTTGGGGCGGCACTTTGTCCAAACGGAATGCGGATTCGACGCGAAAGGCTGTTTGTTCCGGTACGAACAAAAGAGATCTCGGTTTCCCGTTCCCCTTTTATTGCTCGCAATTAGCGGATAAAGTTTCCGTTGTTTCCTTCGATTTTTCTCCCGCGGGCAATAAATGGGACCTTGAAATATTCGAAGTCGGGAGAAGAATGCAATCGCATGCATCCTCGGAATTCGTGAAAAGGAGGACAAAAGTCTCACGCGTCGACGCGTGCGATCGGGAACACACAATGCCGTGCGATTTATCTGATTGCTTCCGAGTACAGAGAGAGAGAGAGAGAGCCAAGAGTGTCCAATAGTCAATCAGGAAGCTCTTTTACACGCGCGTACATCGACAGATCGAGTGTGCGGAAATTATAAGTGCTGCATCCAATATTCAGAGCGTCAAAGCTTGAATTTATATTTCAATATTCAAAGGATAAAAGAAATGTTCATTTAACACAGACGTTTTAATTCGATACCGGGAATAATAAA